AAATCACTATATAATAATTGTAAAAAATTACTCAAAATGAAGGTAATCTATGGAATTATTAAAAAGCTTATTAAGAGAAACTTTATCAGGAATAAAAGATTTTCTTGGGATTAACATAACTAACACAGTTCATTGTACAAAGTTATTATTAATGCTATAAAAAGCTATCTAACAACATTAATAGCAAGAAAAACAAGCATCCTTCCTTGTGAGTGTCTTGAAGGGATTGTATGTACTAGTAAGTGATCAGCTACAATGGCATATGAAAGAATATGTATTATTCCAAGTAATACAAAATGAATAAAATATCATTCTCTCAATGATCATAAAATTAGCAAAAATAAGTTAATTACTAATAAAATTAACCTAAAATTTTATCTTATCAATTTAATTTATAACTTTATTTTTATCCAAACTTCTGCACCTACCTAGATTATCAAATTGTGAGTTACACTTTAGATTTGTGATTTTCTTCCTTAAATTTGTATATCAATATTAAGGTCCACTGTAAATAAAAAACAAGTAGTATTTCTACCCTTCATCAAGATTTTATAAAGCCTGATGTTTTAAAATAACTCATACATATTTATGAGAACTAAGTTAAATGATTGCATTTGGATATTTCTTAACTGATTATAAATTTCAAATAAATGTATGATTGCACTATTTATAATAAATTTAATTTTTTATATTATTCTTCTATACCTCAATTGAGGTTCATAAATCACAAAAAAATTGATAAAACTTCATGGGAAATAAATTTATTGAAAGAAAGTGGCGTAAAATGAATAATAATTTTCAAATTAAATCTTGACAAGTAGTCATATGTAGAAAACTAAGGAAAATTTTCCCAAAGTGATAGTATTTTGTGACTCATCATATATACCAAAATAATGAAAAAATTTTGCATTTATTAAATGAAATTAAATATAATTAAGAAATTTTAATGGGTAGAACCAAATTTTCACTCGATGAATAGGCTCTTCCTCCACTCTCAAGAATTTTCTCCAAATGTTTACCGTTTTTTCTTCACTCTACAAGCACACTATCACACTTGCCACTTGCAAATATTCCACTTTGATATCCTACTTTCTTACTTACTGATATGTACTCTAATACATCACCCTGCAACCTTAATTGCCCCAAAAAATAATCCCTCAATTGCTAATGCTACTCCAAAATCATCATAGTATATCACTACAAATTTGCATTATGATGTTGATCAAGTAGAGCAATGGTACTACAAACATAGTTGCAATGCTTCAATTTCTATTTTAGGTCCCTTTCATCATGGAATGGCATTGGGGTGCTTCTTCTTAGGTGTAATTGTGCTTGATTTACAACATTATGACTCTAAAATTTAACATTGAGGCACTAAGCTCTCATGTTTCTTTTCAAATCAATATATCACCAATGTTGTAGGGTTATTATTATAGAGCTACAATCCTAGTCTCCTCATATGATAGCACTAGAAGCTAGTACTATAACACTAAGCTGTCATATATTTTGCTCCATATAACACAAACTAATGTTGCAACACTAGCTTGTCATCATCACTGTGTTGTATTTGATAATTCACAATTCTTCTTCAACTCTTCCATTTACTTCATTTTGTATCAAAAATAACTTACATAGTAATAAAATTCAAAATTACATAATTATAATTACTCTTCAACTAAATTTCTAATTTACTCAACTCAATCAACAATAAAATTTTATGTAAACCATAATCAGAATGTGAGTTTTCCCTAAAAACATTTAACTAAATGAGATTTTAGGAAAATCTATAGATGTGATGGATTTGATTTTTAAGGTGTTAATCTTTGTTTCGATATGCAAAATATTAAAATACTAAAACATTTGACCAACATACCAATAGTCTACTTCAAGAGGCTTATACATATTGAGATTAAGCTAGCACAACTGAAAGATAATGAGTAAATCTTAAAAATGATCATCAAAAACTTGAATTTTAATAACCAATTATTTAAGTCAACACACAACCTGTTAGTGATGAGATAAATGATGCATTGGAAGGATGCTCCAACAATCTTGAGGCTAATGGGTGTTATCAAGAAAGAATATATGTCACATGGGTCGAAAACTTGATAAGATGCTAATCTTTGATGTTATACTGATTAGGTTATGTTTAGATGATATTTTTATGAAGGAAAATAGTGCATGGGGTAAAAGTTTATTAACTATTAGTAATGAAATGGAAAGAAGAAAGTCATCCATTAGAAAACTTATCAAATCATAAAAGTGAATGCAAGTATAAGGTTTCTCAATCTTTATTTGAATTAGAATAACATTCACCAGCCAAGTTGAATGCATTTTTTCTGAAAAAAATTAGCTTTAATAAAGTACTTCATATTAACAATCATAAACTATTCAAATTCTAACCTCATCCATCAAGGAGGTTGTTTGGAAGGGATTGTCTTGGGATTAATAACCAACATATTGATTTGTACCTATAAGGAAAGATTAGGCATCTTGGTATAATTATAAACAAAATAAGTATGATACTTAATATTAGATTCATTGAATGTTGAGTGTTATGCTTAGAGAGCAATTAATTGACACAATTTGGTGGATGATTTACATTACAGCTACATTTTCATCATAGCCATTTAAGCTCACTTCAATTTTTAAGATAACATAAACATAAATTGTAATAATTTAGAGAGCTTCTCTAAAGAATTTTCTCATATCATCATTAGTCTCTAACCTCTCACTTAAGGATGTAAGTGACATATGAGGAACAAGTCAAGTCATACAAAGTTGTGTCCAAGATGTGGAATTTAATGATATATCCCATATTAAGGTTAAGTTAATAATCTTTAAGACTCCATTATATTTTAAACAAGCAAATATAAATAACCAAGTTATAAATCAAACTCCAAATCTAAATATAAAAATAATTAGATGGATGGTATAATGGAGAATAAAAAATTTCTTCATTAGAGTACTCATTTAAACATATAGGGTTTACATAACTTAGACATAATAAGGCACCTGCATTATAAAATTGAGTACTCAATTTGTTAAACTGCTTATGAAGAGGCATAAAAATGTATTTAATTATCTAATAAATCTCCCCAATATGGAATTCAACCCAAGCACGCTACCTATAATACATGACTAAATGACACACAACTAAACTAAAACCCAAATAATTGGATAATAAATAATAAGATAAACATATTTGAACTTGTTAGCAACTAATGATATTGTCATCATTTAAAAAATTGTTGAAGTATAATAGTAATAGAAACTAAAGGAAACTAAAGGAAGTTTGACTTGGCATTCAATATATAATAGTAATAGAAACTAAAGGAAGATTATGAAGCCTTAATGGAATGAATGTTCAACCCTAAACAAGTCAACTCCCATCCCAAATTCACAATCAATAAAATAAGTTATGTCTTTCCTACTTAGCAATGGCTCATATCATGTTGCTCTCTAAGAAAAATGGGATCATTCAAAGATATAAAAAAATTATGTAGTTATTTCTAAAACTAAAATGATTATTATTTCAATAAATATTGACTCAACAATTCCAAAGATATAAACTATAAGAAAATGCTCATGAAATGAGATAACTTAATCATGAGATCTAAATACATCAACTAAAGATGTTCAAGAAAAAAATAATAAAAAAAAATTATACGTCATACTTTTTACTCATCTATTTTTTTTTTCAATTTATTCATCAATCTGATTTTATAGCTAAAAGTTCTAAATAGATATAAATAAAAAAGAAAAAATAATATATAATTTTACAAGAAATATCTTGTAAGCATGTTTTAAAAAAATAAAATCATAACTAAGGGAATCCTTGATATTATAAGGGCATAAATTTCCTAATAAAATATTACAAATTATTCTAATACTCAGCTTATATCCTTTTAAAATTTTTGGCTACCTCATAAATGATGATATCATTAGATGAGAATAATATTTCTTTTAGTTTGCAAATAAAGGCCCATTCAAGTTGTGCCTCTACATCAAGCAAAAAAAAAGCTAAAAGAAAGATTGGTTCAATAAATCTTATAGAACTACCATTTTGACTTCCATCTTCTATGTGAACTCCTGAAGCCGGATTAACATTATCGCCAATTTCCTAGAAAGCTCAACATAAAAAAGTGCAACATCATCCTTTGAAAAGAACACTTAATTAGACACATCATTTTATTCTCGACCTTCTTCTCTAAATCTTTCATCCATGCCTCTTTTTTTCTAACACCACACAAAGCTGTTTGTCATGTCTTTTCCTTGAGGACAATGCATAGTTACCTTAGGAAAGTATAAGTCTCCTTCAAACCAACTAACTCCCAATTGAAGGGCGAACTCTCATATTTAATTTCTTGCATATTTAGTCATAGTTCAAATGCAACTAACAAGTAAGCGCTGTGACTTATCGATATTTAAAATGAGCTCCAATCAAGAAAATTATCAACGAAAGGGATCATATTACAAACTATTCCTAGCATCAATCGAGTTTTTTTCCCTTCATATCTTTATTTTAGATTTGCATTTTATCCAACAAGAATTCTATGTTCCCACCTAAAATATTAATCCTTCAATAAACTTAATGTCCAAATATTATATCATTAGTTAACACCCAATCAAACAAACACAATCATTCATTAAAAAATTATATATATATATATATATATGAGATATATCCTACTTTAAATTTTTCACTAATGTGAGCGCTCAATGTATATATATAGATTCCCGCGACCTTGGACAAGTTGTGCAATCATTCATCGAGCTGGTCGAGAGAATCCAAAACCCGCCAGGAATTTCTACCGTGAAAAAAATTGCCAATACCCGGGCCCCACCCCCGCCAGCTCCTCTCCCTCGCGACACCCCACTTGCGGCGCCCGCTTCGTGTTAGCCACGTCAGCAAAAATAGCATCCCACGCCACCCAAATTACACCCGCCCTATAAAACGCCCCCACCCCCCCCCAACATCCCCCTCTCCCCAACAAACTCCCCCCATGGCTGAAACCGCCTCCTACGCCCTCCTCCCCACCACAAACGCCGCCGCCGCATCGGCCGTCAACACAGCCTTCCGGCTGAGGCCCGTAGGACTCCTTTCCCTTGCATTGGCCACCATCCTTATCATCGGCCTCGCCATAATTCACAATGGTGCCGGGGACGATCACTCTCCCGGAAACCACCAATTGCCAATGTCGCCGGAGCTGGACGGTGAGAAGCTCGCGCCCCACGAGACCCCGTTTGATCCGGTCTCCCGTGGGCTTCTCCTCGGTGTCTCTGAGAAGAGCTCCGGCGTCGGCGTCGGCGTCGGCGTCGGCGCCGGCCTTCTCACCGGTGATCGCACCAGTTACCCCTGGACCAATGACATGCTTCAATGGCAACGGACGGGTTTCCATTTCCAGCCTCTCAGGAACTGGATGAACGGTTAGTATAAACCTCGTATTCTATAATTATTCATTGCAGCGCACCTCATATTTCTATTTCATAGAAATTTAAACTTATGAATTGAATCGGAGCTCATTTTGATCATAAAACATACAAAAATATCATTTCAAAATAACAACTTTATACTTAAATTTGATATTGAATAAGAAAATCATATTTGTTGTGAGACTGACTGCAGGCGTTCTCCTCTTTCTAGTTTTTAATTTTTCGTATGCAGACTGATGTTGGGTTTATCTTAACTATTTTGTTGTTTGGGGGTGGTGATGCTCTCGTTGGTGGTGGATTTGTCGTGGCTTGGCTCTCTTGTCCGCAGATCCAAACGGTAAGACTAAGCCAATGAAATAATTCATTATAGTTTAATGCCTAATCACAAAAAGGTTGCATAAATTATTACTCCGCAGCATGTGCCGATTCAATCAAGTCTGCCAATTTTGCATTTATTTAGAAAGGTAATCATGTTGTCAAATTCAGAGTGGGCCATTCTCCATTAGTAATATAAGAAAATATTATATCAGGACTCTGGATACATCCGGAGTCTTATTGGGGAGCGACACGTATAAAACGGACCAATCACAGTGTATTGTGATGAGTTCACTTTACACGTGACGCTTTCTTATTAGACTCGAAATGATCCGGAGTCCTGACATAATTTTTCTCCAAAAATGTTATGGTAGATCTCATATGTGCCACATAGGGAGTAAAGGGAGAAATTTAGAGTATCATTATTTAAATTTAATTATAATGGACGTCGACGAAAATTATTGGTTTCTTTATATTAAACTTTGTATGAATCCTTGTACATGAAAATATATTATATGCAAATGCAATAGTTGCAGAAACGTGCGGATTTAATAGTGTTATTCATCATAATACAACCACAATACGGTAAATACAGACTCACATGCAGACTCCACATGCAATATTTGCTTCTTATAATGAAACCTCGTTTTATTTTTTATTAACCATTTTCATAGATGAAGTACAATAATTCAATAAGATGGTAGCCTCCGTGAATTGTCAGGTAATTATGTGAGTTGTAATAGATCAAAACTCGGTGAGTTTGGCAAATAAAACTAATTTACGTCTTCGTTCTGTGAACGGCGACACTAAACAACTCAGGCCATATCTGTCATTTCCACAATTCATGGGATCACATGGCATTTTATGCCTACTTCAAAAAAGGAAAATTGTAGCGCAAGGCTCTTCAATGCGGCTTGACTTAAATAATGTTTTTTGTCCTTATACCTAGCCGATGTGGGACAATTTATTCGTGACATTCTCCTCCACCCAATCACTTGAGGCTCTCGTCGCGGATCGGCTCCACCGAGGGTCTCACTTCACCAAGAAGAGTCCACACACCTGACAGGCAGTAATCTGCTCTGATACCACTTGTCACCTTCCAAAAGAGCCCTAAAGAGAAATGGGCAGCCCAGGACTTAAATACTGATTTTCGGCTCTACACCTAACCGATGTGGGACTGTATCCGTGACAGTATGCTAGGTTCTAAATTCCCAAATAACATGGTTTTTTTCTTAATTTTAAATTATTATGAAGTTTCGCTCTTCAAATTCGTGTTAATTCGTAGTATTGATTGTATAGTTTAATTTTAATTTGCGTTTGCATCGCGATTCCATTTATATTCTAATAGAAGTGTGGCAAGCAGGCTGATTTGGCCTCTTTTGTCCGGTACCTGCCCACCTTTCGGTGGTGTTTGGCTGCCCACCGTAGGTTTAAATTGAATAGGATTTATCTATATGTTTAGGGCTGTCAAAAAAGCTCGTTGTTTGCAAACAGCTCGTGTTCGGCTCGTTAAGTAGCTCGTGTTCGGCTCGGTTGTTAAGTATAAGAGCCGAACGGCTCGTTTTCGCTCGAAATAAAAAAAAAAATTTTATAACTATTTATATAACTATATATTACATATATTATTTATATAATAATATATTATATATATTTATGTCTAAGTTTAAATCATAACAGCTCATGTGACAATGTAGTTAGTTTCTTCTTTTGTATATATTTGATCCAGGTTCGAATCCCACACTTTAAATTTATTTTTCTCAATTTTAGTTTAACGAGTCAATTTCGAGCCGAACACGAGCCAATATTTAAATAGAGCCGAACACGAACACACTGTTCACGAGCCGATTTCGAACACGAGCTATTTTGAACAAGCCGAACACGAGCCAAGCCTGAGCTCGCTCAAGCTCGGCTCGTTTACAGGCCTAGATTTATCAAATCTAGTGGGTGACAGAAAGCGATGGTGAGGCGAGGGCAAATAAATTCTGCTCGCAATCGAATTCACGAAATTTAAAATTATGCCTCGAGAACCCCAAATTGACAAAATTTAGATTTAAGAAATGCTAGTTTTAAATTTGTTTAATGTTTGAGTGAATTTAAGTTAAACTCATAATTAAATTCTATAAAAAATAGGGTATCAAACACCATTTTATAGATCAATCAATGACTAATATTGGCACAATTTTTTCGTTGGAAACTAAATTTTAGGCGATCTTAAACACTTTAGATTATATTTGTTACATCTAAAACAAATCTTCATGATCTCAAATGTATCTCAAGGCATGACATAGATCTAGAGGCGACTTTTTGAGAAAAATAAATTCAAACCTCGATAAAAACTTATCCAGAACTCCAATTTTAGCAAACTTATAGTTAAACTGACCGACTCGATAAGAAGAATCAAATGTTACCAAAATATGTCTAATCCGAGTTAAATCAAGCTCAGATCAAGTCATTAAACTGCTCCTGAAAATTTTTCGGACATATTTAGAAGGTTAAATGAATGTTGAATCTAGCAAGCCTAGAATTGAATTAAGCTTCTCGACATGAAACGAGCCCAAGATTGCTAATTTCTGACATCGTTCAGCCACTCAAATGTTCATCAAACACAGTGTGATCAAAGGAAACTCTCTGGGCCGTCCGATCAAGGTAGTTCATATTTTGCATTCATTGCATCCAGAGCACTACAAATGGAGCTCCAACCCTCTCATGAGAAGGGGTTGGAGGCTTGAGAGAAAACTCAAAGTTTTGAGAAAAAGCTGAAGTTCAACACCACTCCTGTCACCGTAGATCGCCACCGGTTATTGTTTGTTTTGTTTTACTCGAGTGAGTGTTGAATTCTCGTACAATACTAAGAAAATAATTCATTATTGAACCGTCGTAAATTTCCTAACACGCATCATCATAATTTTATCTGTATTTGAAAGCATGTTAGGTACGTTTAGGCTTGGTTAGCATTTTAGGATGTCATGCATTAAAGTTCATTGATTTTGTAGCTTGGATATTATTTTTGGTCTCAGTTTCATTTATTTTTGTATATATATATATATGAATCAACTGAACGAAGTCTGAATTGCTTCAGGGCCAGTGTTCTACAAAGGATGGTATCATCTCTTCTACCAATATAACAGCGGCGGTGCAGTCTGGGGTAACATTACTTGGGGCCATGCCGCTTCCCGCGACCTCCTCAACTGGCTCCACCTCCCCGTCGCCATAGTCGCCGACCACTGGTACGACACCAACGGTGTCTGGACTGGCTCCGCCACCGTCCTCCCCGACGGCAACCTCATCATGCTCTACACCGGCTCCACTAACTCCACCACTCAAGTACAATGTCTTGCCCTCCCAACCAACCCTTCCGATCCCCTCCTCATTCACTGGCACAAGCACGAAGCCAACCCCGTCCTTCTTCCTCCTCCCTCCATCCTACCGCACGACTTCCGCGACCCGTCAACCGCATGGGCCGACCCCTCCGACTCATCCACCTTCCTCCTCGCCATCGGCTCCAAGGATGACTCTCGCAGCCGTCATGCTGGCGTAGCATACGTCTACGCCACGACAGACTTTGTTTCCTACCGCATTCTTCCTGGTGTTCTTCATGCAGTGGAGGGGACCGGCATGTGGGAGTGTATTGATTTCTTCCCGGTTAGTGTCGATGGACAAGCTGGGCTTGACACTTCTGAGAAGGCTGGTGCGGGAATCAAACATGTTCTGAAAGTTAGTGTAGATGATGATCGTCATGATTATTATGCTATTGGGACGTATGATGCGGAAGGGAACAAGTGGGTGGTTGATGATGCGGAGAAGGATGTTGGTGTTGGACTTAGATATGACTGGGGCAAGTTCTATGCAGCCAAGACATTCTATGATCCACATAAGAAAAGGCGAGTCTTATGGGGTTGGGTTGGTGAGACCGACAGCGAACAGGCTGATCTCTCCAAAGGCTGGGCTTCTATTATGGTAATTTTTTTTCTTTTATAGTTTTTTTTTTGGTCCCTTTAAGGATAAATATCATATTCATACAAGAAATCTAAGAAATTAGCTTTTGCATTTCTTAATCACTTGATCAAATAGACAAATGCATAAATGATTTAATTATTTGGCTGCAGAGCATCCCACGAACGATACTGTTCGATTCGAAGACGAGAAGCAATCTCCTCTTTTGGCCAGTGGAGGAGGTGAACATTCTCCGCACCCGAAGCTTCGAATTGCCTGCCATTGACGTTCTGCCAGGCTCCGTCGTGCCGCTCAATGTGCCGGCGAAGGCCGCCCAAATCGACATCGAGGCGGAATTCGAGGTGCAGAAGATGGCGGAGATGACGGCCGTGGAGGCTGACGTTGGCTATAACTGTAGCACCAGCGATGGCGCGGCCGGTCGAGGTCTTCTCGGGCCATTTGGCTTGCTCGTGCTCGCAGATAAAGATGTGGGCGAGCAAACTGCTACATATTTTTATCTTGCAGCGTCTGCCGATGGTGCTGATCGCAACACACATTTTTGTCAGGACGAGACCCGGCAAGTTAATTCAGCGTTTTTCTTTTTGGAGAAACATAAATTTAATCAATCTTTTTTGAAAACTAAAACCTTATAGCTACGGATTACAATAGTTGTTGTGTTATAGAAATATTCAGATGTGTTATAGAAATATTTCATCAATGTTATTTGTAGAAAATGAAGTGTTATTGGAATATTCTCCCATGTTACTTTATTTGAGGCTGTGTTATTCCAATAACATAATGGAAAATGAAATAACACGGGAAATATGCTGGATAACACAGCCCCAAATCAAGTAACGCGGTAAATACTCTAATAACACCATAAAGTTATCGAATAACACTACATAATACTCGAATACCACTTCATTTTTTACAAAAAACGCTGATGAAATATTCTTATAACACACACGGATATTTCTATAACACAACGACTATTGGAATTCGAACGCAACTCTATTCGGAGGCAATGGGTTTAGGCTCAAATTTTATCAAACTATCATTTTCAACACTAAAAATTGTGGAATTTCTGAATTTCACCGAAATTTAGCATTAAATCTCAGATTTAAAAAGCTATTGGGATTTTACTAGATTTAATAAATTCACTAATTAAAAAAATTCAAATTTAAGGGATTTACTAAATTTTAATAAATTAAAATATATCTTTTGCAAGACAGTACCCAAACACTGCTTGGTTGCAAGTAGAATTTAGTTTAAATAGGACTTAATAAATTCCATAAATCTGGATTTATGAAAATTTGAAGGGGTTAAATTCTCAAAACTAATTGACAAATTGAATAGAATTCATCTTCTCCCGGGCTTTAGAATATATCCTGTATAAATTCTACTTAAAACTGACAACCAAATAGCTCCTAAGAGAAATGTGCATTGAAATATCTTTCTATATTATCTATATTAAAATAGCTGTTTGGAATGATTACCATTTTTTTCTTTTAGAAATTTGCAAGTTTGGTAAGCAGGGTGTATCTTAAATTAATCAAAATTTTATCGTCTAATTAATGTGCAGGTCATCACGCGCGAGTGATCTTGTAAAGAGGGTGGTGGGCTCTACAGTACCAGTTCTCGAGGGCGAGAGGCTGACTGTGAGGATCCTGGTCGGTTTTCTTTTCTTTTCTCTTTTTTTTTGTTTGGCCGATTATAAATTAATCATAAAAAAATAGAAATTTAAGGAGTTAGATAATCAGAAATTGGTCTGGATTCTGTAGGCCAAATCATGAGATTAGGCAATATTAATTAAAAGATAATGGGGGCCATATTTATATTGTAACCCAATAACTTAGTCAAGCTTGGCATTAGTAAGATCTTTGCCCCAATGTTCAAAAGGTGATTTGGGCATCACTATAAAAAAATTTATCGCGTGGCACTAAAATAGAGTAATACACATAATAAGTAAGGATAATTACATACCAATCGCCTGAAACTTGACGCATGTGATTTTTTTTTTAAACTGTCGAATCAATATATTTACGTGTGTCATTATCAAAGTAATTGGACTTTGATAAAAATGAAAGATATGGGTTGGGGTTTTGAATTGAATTTTGATATATGAGTGACAATTTGAAAAATGGACTGAAGAAGATGGTTGATTAGTAAATAACAGGGTTTGGCTTGTCTGTATGCAATGAAAAAATTGTCTGATTTTTAATGGTCTTAATGAGATAATTTTATGCTACATGTGATTGAAATCTTGTTGGACTAGAGATTAATTTTGTAAATGTTATGATTATTGAAGTTTGTTGTCTGTTATTTGTTCTTGATGCTTCAATTATTACCAGAAGAACACCACCCAATAAAAAAAAATGCATGTGTAGATGCATTTCATTACGCTAATGTGCCTTTTATTTTTACTTGGATGATTTGAACCAGGTTGATCACTCAATAGTGGAGAGCTTTGCACAGGGAGGAAGGTCAGCAATTACTTCTCGTGTCTACCCAACAAAGTCATTTCACTCAGCTAGAGTATTTTTGTTTAATAATGCCACCAGAGCCTCTGTAAGAGTAAAGTCCATCAAGATTTGGGAGATGAAATCAACTTTCAATCACATTTATGAAGAAAAATCATACCAATTCCAATAATCTTAATTTGTATACTGGTTTTGAATATGTGCGCGACCCTTCATTAGCTTAGGTCTTGTAGTTAGATTTTTTTATTTTATGTTGTATTAAATCGGTTCTCTAAAGTAATTGCATTCTTATGCATTTTTTCTCTATTAATTTTCATATGTTTTTTTTTCTCTTTTATATAATTTTGTAGAGCAAAATCTTCAGTTAATCTTGTCAAATTATATGGATTAGATTTTGGATTCTTCAATCTATTAAGACAGATCTTGCTACAAGGGTCGCTAGGGCATGCTAAACTATAAGGCATTAGCCCAAAGCAAAGAGATGAAGAATACTTGAAGAAATTTTGGTCATCCAAGAAATTTGAAGGCCCCAACTCATCCAAGTGTTTGGCTACTGACCTAGCTAAGCCTCAAGGCTAACTGAGCAAAGTTACCCTGGTCAATCAACTTAGCTATTCACTAAAACTCAACTAATTATAGAAAAGAATAGGAGATTGCATATGAACTTATTTCTAATTTATAATTCACCATGAGTATTCAATTCTATCAATTCACTACAAATTATAATCATTTTCTAATATTCATAATTTATTAAGATCTATGGTGTAACTTTATTTTTATATCCTTTTATATAAGATTATGCCTCAATTAAGAAATAAATAAGGGATCGTAGGATGACAAAGGGGACCCAACACTAATCATTATTATAATCAATTTGATGAAATCTCAAAATGTCATTGGGAACTCAATACCACAATGGAAGTAAAGCCACTCTATTTACTAGTGCTTTTTTAGTGGCCAAGCCAAAAGTAAATTTTAAAGGACATTTGGTCAATCTTTTCATCAATAAGTTAGATGGGAAAAATCCTATTATAAATAAATTTTATTGATCATTTCTATT